AGTGGGGGGGGGGGGGGGGGGGGTCTATAAAGTTTTTTCACAAATGATTTCATTTAAAGGTCAAGGCTACATACAATGTCTCTCATTCGTTATTACAGTTTTAGTACGAGCAAGTCCGCGTAATTTTTGAACGGCCCTCGTAATAAGGCCATGAAGTTAAATCATAATTATGTTAAGGTCAGACTATACGTTCCTCAAATATCTGTTTTGTATATAATAATAAAATATGAAAAAATATTCAAAATTACAATTTCCTTGTGTTTTCTAAACTGTTTTCTAATTGTCTTTAAAAAATCAACATATTAAAAACTTTAATATTGGCAAATTAAGTTATTTTCAAAAGGATAATATAAGAAACACCATCCTCTGGTATCTTTCACAAATGCCTGGTAAGGTACCTCAATTTTTTGTGAGTAAACATGTTAAAGTAGCAGTACTTCAATGACAAAATCTTGGAAAAAATTATATATTATTGAGGAACGTATCGTCTGTCCTTAAAATTTACATGTTTCAAGATGGAAGACTTCTTTTTTGTATTTAACGTATTTAATTAACCCAGAACTTCTTTTAAAATTTCTGGTAGAAACACAGACCTATGGTCCACGTATTACAGTCCTTTTTTAAAGGACAACGACTTGTCATGTGAATTATAAGATTTTACTGTCTTACAGTGGTCTTCTGATGTTTTCATAACTTTCATCATTAAAGTAAAAGATTTTTCACTGTTATTTTTCACTGTTCTGGGACCTTTGTAGCAAGTGGGTTATCAGTTGTGTGAATTCCGACCCGTACATGTCATATGCAAGATATTGATTGAGGGAGTCTTGCATCAGGCATCCAGAGGTCGGCGATTGAGGGTATATAAATATATCAAGTTTTGAATGTGCTCTACATATAAACTAAACTTCTTCTATAAGAAGCATTGAAATATTTTCAAAGTATCATATAAAACAGTACAAATTTCCCATTTAGGAAATCTATGTCTTTAATTTTTCGTCGAGACGAACGAAGATCAATGCAGGCTATAAATAGATCGAGGTAATGTCTTTATTCAGAGAGTGTGTGTGAAGAAGCAGGCCTTCTGATTGGAGCAAATAGTATTCATGAGTTTCTCTTCAGAACAAGTCGTGTAAATATTTTCCCCAGAATTCCAAATTACGCAAGCGCAGTTTCATCCCAATGTAACTAGTCAGCCCGTGGGCTGACTAAACAGTCATTATAAGGAGGAGTCACTACAGACTGAGATGTTGACAGAAGAAATCCGACGAAATGATAGGAGTAAGGCCAGAGAAGGTGCTAATCTTGAGTATCTTAAGAATGTGACGTATAAACTCCTGACGAGCTTCGATCCCAAGGTAAAAAAAAAAAACAGATGCTGAAGGCCATCATCACCATCTTACAGTTCAGTCCTCAAGAGAAATCAGTAGTCCACACACAGCTAAATTAAAGAGCTGGTGGGCGGGCACTATATTATGAGGACCGAACCACTGGGGGGGGGGGGGGTTACTGGTCAACACACAGCTAAACAACTAATGGGCAGGCACTATATCATGAGGACCAAACCACTGGGGGCGGGGGGGGGGGGGGCTGGTTACCAGTCCACACACTGCTAAAGAGCTGGTGGACGGGCACTAAATCGTGAGGACCAAACCACTGGGGTGGGTGGGGGCTGGTTACCAGTCCACACACTGCTAAAGAGCTGGTGGACGGGCACTAAATCGTGAGGACCAAACCACTGGGGTGGGTGGGGGCTGGTTACCAGTCCACACACTGCTAAAGAGCTGGTGGACGGGCACTTTATCATGAGGACCAAACCACTGGGGAGGAGAGGAGGGGATAGATTACTGTTTCAAACACAGTTAAAGAGCTAGTGAGTGGTCACCATATTCTGAGGACCAAATAATTTGGAGGGAAAAGGAAGGTCTCTCTGTGATCAGGACTTATTTGTGATCCTTCACTTTATTTCATTATCTGGGGGTGTGTGGGTTGGTTCAATCTGGCCCTTTCTTTATTTGTTATGTGCTTGATATCTATGGCAACTGAACTAAACTGATATGTTTTAATCTATGGCAATAATAAACTTTTAGTGATATGTATTTTTTTTTCATTTGTCAGATTTTCACTGAAGTTAAAATGAAATATGTTGACTTGGCTGCTGTTTTAAAGTATATTTTTTTCAGGATTAAAGTTTATTTTCTGGTTTTATATGTTTACATGTAGTACATGGGTCAACCGTCATTTTCCAATTCAGTCATAAATTGATGCTGCCAGTCATCCTATGAAGTAATTAAATTGCTTTATGATTAAGTTTCTATTTTGTCTTCTTGACAAAAGTAGGGAAGTGACAAAATATTTAATCTGAAGTTTAATGAAATTATAAACATCAATAAAGCTTTTACAATCATGACATGAAGAAAATTTGCTTTTTCTTTCTTTCTTTTTTTTCAGCCCTGCTTGAATAGGCAGTGATCTGTGTAGGTACAGGTCAATGAATGTACTCCTGTGTCAGCCCTAAAAATAAGTCATACACAGGGCATCAAATAACCACCCATAGGTAGTAAATGCAAGTAACCCAAAGGAAACACAAAATTTTATTTTTAAATGCCATATACACATGAAAAAGTGGAAAGGATCCAAGATTTTCATGCTTGTGTGTAATGGTGGTGGTGGGGTTAATTATTTGTTTTTATCTAGTGATGCCAGAATTGTAACTTCACCAAACACAATTAATTTGTGACTTATATAATCTTCATGGCCGTGGAACCGGGGGGGGGGGGGGGGCACGGGGGCCGTGCCCCCCTCCAATTATTTTGCCGATATATAGAATACTATAGAAAACATAGCTACTATATGCTTGTGCCCCCTCAATAAAAACGTCTGATGACCTTTTTTTTTTTTTTTTTTTTTTTTTTTTGCTTGTCAGGGAATTTTTGGTGGTTGATAGTGCCCCCCCCCCCCAACCTGAAAATGTATGGCTCCCCTCCAAACTGAAATTGCTTCCTACGGGCCTGATCTTGGAGTGAAAATTCGTAATTTTTTATCTCGATCTAAGTGCACCCCCCCCCCCCCATTTAATGTTAATTTGAAAGTTGGAGAGGGAGAACGAAGTATAAAAATGAATTTATTTATTCCAGTTATTCAACCTACCTATATACCCAAATCAGGAAGCACCCCCCCCCCCCCCCCAAAGTTACGCCTATACACACCTTGAAAACTTAATTCAAGTTGGCAAATTACTGGTCATTCCACTCTGAGTCATAAAGAGATACATGAAGGTAAGAAAGGAGAGACATTAGTCTGTTGTATAGATTGGGGAAGTTCATTTATTTATTTATTTTGTGTGTGTGTGTGTGTGTAAGAACAACTGTCCGACTCCATTGGAGTATGAATTTGTATTGCCCATAAGTACTTTCATTTTTCGTATAGGTTGAGTTCCAGGAATACAGTACTGTCGTATGATTGCGAAGTTGGTGATTTTCAAAAAAAAAAAAAAAAGGTCAGGAATAGGAGTGCCCAGCTTCTGAAAAATTTGGAAACATTTGACAGAGAATCACCATATATATATGTGTATCTAAATTATGTCTTTGTATATATATTTCATAGCGATAAAAAAAAATAATACACGTCAACTAAATATGCTGGATTAAAATATTTGTATTCATTAAATTAAAGGAGAAGGCTTCTCTTTCAGGAAGAGGAAGAGAAATCAGATTTAATAGCTTCCTGGTTAGTTTTATTTACATTGTTATCGAAAGTATTATATAGAGGATATTCAATGTTTTGTAGATGAATATGGAATTTATTTCACGAGTGGGACAGGATTTTTTGATATTTTCACGAGTGCGAAGCACGAGTGAAAATATCAAAAAATCCTGTCTCACGAGTGAAATAAATTCCATATTCATCTACAAAACATTGAATTTTCTGTTTATTACATTTTCTTTGATTTTCCCTTTGCCTCTGTCTTTTCTTAACACCATAGGCTTGACGTCATAGTTGAACGGTTGAGACGTCATAGCTTAGAAGTTGTGTGATTGAAAACATTACATAGTACAAGGATTTTAGCAACATATTTGGGAAGAAATTTGCAGTTTTAGCTCTATCAAGATGCTTAGTTACTATTTCTATCTTATGACAGGCCAGAAATTATTTTTTACTTACTTTGATATCCTTTCACATTGTGAGAGAATATCATTTTTGGTATCCTTTCACACTGTGAGAGAATACCACTTTTATTCAATAAATAAATCACAGTATTTCACTGTTGAAGATGTAATAAAGTTGTTTTCGTACACGTATATTTTATTATTTTTTTATTTAGAAAAAGAAAACGAAGAATATAAATACATTAAATTTACATGTAAATTGATTCCATACATGGTGTAGGTATTTTCCGACACAGTTTCGAACCCTAAAAAATTACAAATGCTTGTTTTAAATTGCTATATGCAGGAAAAAAGACATACGCAAATTATTTACACAAATTTTCTAAATAATTATAGAGTTGGGTCATTTTTAATCATTTTTTTATTCAATTCAAACGACAAGGAAATATTCACCTACATGTACATGTAAGTATTTTTTTTTATATATAAATAGTATGTTTTATAAAAGTCAGTCATAGAAAACTTGGTTTTTAGGTGCAAGTGTCCGAATTTTCGTGGAAACTGGAAATATTCAGTCACATGCTAGCTTAACTGAAAAGGCCTGTCCCTCATCTAAAAATAGCAATGGGAACTTCTTGTTTTGCGAACCGCATGAAAACTGAATTGAGCCGAACTACCGGTCAATATCTAAGTTGATTGATACTATCATACTGGTATATGTGTTTCTGTAAAATAGGTTTTATAAAGTTAGGAAAATTTCAGATACAATTTTTTTTTATAGACTGTTGATCAAATATTATACTGGTGCTCGGGAACCAGTCTAGATCTTTTTTTTTCCACATATTTTTACGTCATAGCTAAATATAGATTTGGATCAACGCCCGTGCAGGGCGTAAGATTGCACAACGGTTTAAAATATCGAGCAACGTGGAGGAGAACAGACGCTAAAATAGTATGTGTGAAATAATGCTGATTCACCTATGTAATTCTATGTATAATTCCGGGATATATGTTGTTTAATTTAATCGTATATACATTGTAAAGCTATTTATTTCATGAATTAAAGTGTTGAAAAATTACATATATATCATAAGATATAACACTGTATATTGTACTTATATTCTTGCTTGAATAAGATTGACAAATTAGAAAAAAAGATTGTTAGATGCGTACATGGAAAATTAAAAATATTTCTGTTAAGTAAATCTAATTGTGCAGATAGAATTATCTGATTCAGTTTTACAGTCATATACAAGATAATTTAAATTAAAAATACTTTTATTTCAATCCTTTAGAATAGATTTCAGTATTAAACTTGAACAAATTAAACGTACAACTAACGTTTAAGTATCATGTATTTATCCTCAAAAACTCAGAATTATTTTATGGACCTTGTTATGTTTAGTGAATAAATTTATAGTCAGATCCGCTAAAATTTTCAGTATGTTTTATACGTTATATATTTATCTCTATTTTATCGTATTTTTTTTTAAACAGATAAGTTGACATAATGCTAGACAAAGGCCTCCTGTACCCAATAGAAAACATGGCGAAAACGGATTACTATTCGAATTCTTCCCAGGATAGTCTAATGGACGCCGCTCTCGTTGCCTTGGATACAGGAGAGATGACACCACTGGTCAAGGAAGAGCTTAAACTGACCATACAGTCGCGCCGTCTAGCGGCCGGTATGGGGGAATTAACAGTCAATTTCGAACCTCCAACACAATCAGAGGTATATAAAGAAACTTACAATGTACATGTATTTATTTAGAAGAATTATCGACTTTTGTTCCTTCTTGTATACTACTTGTGTTGTTTTTATCTGACATGCTCTTAATTAAATCAGGGTACAATAAAATAATATTCTCATGTTATGGTAAAAATGGAAAATGACAAAAAAATGTTATTAATACAAGACCTATTGTACTAAATTTTAAGATGGTGTTCGTTTGAACTCTCTTGTAGCTAACAGAGGAGGAAAAAGAAAAGGTAGACCGGAGACGTGAACAAAACAGACTGGCGGCACAGCGGTTCCGGCTAAAGCAGAAAACGACCGGAGAACGAATCCAGAAGGTATGTCAAGTCCAATGTAACAGTTCACTTAACACCCCCTTCTTTTTATACAAAAATTATGAGTTTTGAAATCTAAATCGTCTTACAAAATTTCAGTGGAAATAATTAAATCATTTCCTTGTATTGTAAGAACTTATAGCGCTTATTGCAGCATTATGTAATACCGGTGTTTGGATGTAGTTTTGAAATCTATATTAAAATCGGTTGAAATATGTGATATGTATTGCTTTATGTTTTACAGAAGGTACGAGGTTTGGAGTCGGACAATACACGCCTGAGGGCGGAATTGAGGATTCTACAGACGGAGAGAGACGAACTCAGAAAGAGGCTAGAGGACCACATGAAGATCTGCCCCGGGAATGTCCTGTATGTGCTCAATAGGTGACGAATCAACGTTGTCCATCATCATTTTCATACCCCAAATATGAAGAAAAAAAACCGAACGAAAAAAGTGTGACTGATATGTTACTCTGCTTGGAGGCTAGCTGTGCATTGCTTATGTAGGTCGAAAAAATCAACATTTTATTATGTTGACCTCAACGTTTTGAGGTCGACTCATCAATAGTCCATAATAAATCCATGTGAGGAATTATAACATCAATTGTAAACCTCTGAATAACAGTGAAGTTTCGCGTAGCTCGTGTAGAGGTTCTGTCTATCGATATACGTATATCTATGAAATATGTTTTACGGTCTTTTACCGCATCTGGATATACATGAATACATCCAATCATGGTCATCGCTGTATGAAGTTGTGAGACATTTTCATGGGATCATTGTAGAAATTGTGATTTCACAAACACGTGCATGTGACTGTTAATCCACAGGTGGATATGACTATAATATCTAATGTAGCTACATGTAAGTTGAAATTACAGTACATTTCTATATAGTGATGCAGGAAAAATTGGTTGATACATATAAATATTGTGTATTTGATACATGTGTTTTAATAAAAGGATTTTGTTTACCATTTGAGTTTGAAATATATTTACATACTGTAATTGAACCGTATTATTTCGTATGACAACCCTTCTGAACATGACGCCATCTTGTTGCTATTTATAGTCATGATATTGTACTTTGTTACATAATACAAATTCTCAAATTTTTAAAACAATATTCATGGTCATTCCACACACACTGTGAATTAATGTTACAAACTCTGTGTGATATTTTCTCAGTTTAGAAAATAAAAATGTTTTTTTTTTTCGCAATATTATCGGATTTACTAATTTATAGACAGAAATTTCCGAAAACCATCATGCAAGCAGTACTCGTATTAATTATTTTCGATCGGTTTAAGGGACGGCCATTTGAATCTGGGAGAGGGACTGGCAATTATTTGCAAGTTGGATCATTTATTTTATGTCAGTGAATGAAAGATTATTCATTTTCAACATTATTGAGGACAGATTATCTCCCCCCACACAATCAAATGGTCGACGTTCCCTTATCATCCGTCGAATTGGAAGGCTTAGTCTTCTCACAAACGCAAACCCTCATGAACAAAATGCTTTATGAAATATGCCTGCAATATGCGTAAAAACTAAAAGTATAAGCTCGGCCGTACGCATTGATTGAAGACGTACATAACTGAAAACATCAAAGGGAGATGAAATAATCGGGACTGTATGATATCGTGAGATTTAGCGACTCAGAAATAGAAGGAATTCCTTGCAACACGTGCAAATTTTATTTGCTTTAATTCAACCATATTAATGGTTCATAAGACCACTGGGGTGCGTTCAAGAGTGTTTCGGCTACGTAGCCTGTACGTAAAGTTCGATCTTGAACCTTTAGCTAGGCCTATATAGCCGATATCATCAAAGGTAGATGAAATAACCGGACGTCCTGTGTGATATCGGGGCATTATAACCGTGATCGTCTTGAAAAAAACGAGGTACGTGTAAGTTATTGACGAACAAGTTGATGAAACAAGAATATCAGCAGTCTCGTTTAAAGTCACCATTTCGTAAGTTCTATGATCGATACAATGACCTAGTCAGCAAATACAATATATCATTAAGTCAAATGCTGACTGACTTTTTCATACTAATTGTTAGGCCATTATTTACACACTGAATTGTCGACAGATTTTTCCGTTATTTCCCGATCATGAGAAGGAGCACACGGCGGGTGTGACCAGTCGACAGGGTATGCTCACTCCTCCATGGCACCTGATCCCACCTCTGGTGTCTTAGAGGTCCGTGTTTGCTCTGTTCTCAATTTGTAATGTTTAATGGACTTTTGAGCTCGAATACTGTTCGTTATCTCCACTTTACATGCTTAAATTCAACCATATTTGTTCATATAACAACTGCACTCACTCGAAGACACGTTTCCACCTTGTTACTATTTATAGTCATGAAATTGAGCTTCATCGTACTTTACAGTGTATAGAGAAAATCATAAACTCTGAGTATTCATAGTCATTCCATATGAACTATCATTGAATATTAAAAACTTCTTTATATCTTAGCTTAAAAAATATTAATGTCGTGATATTCCGAATTTACTATTTATAGACAGAAATTTCCGAAATTAGTTTCTCAAATGCAAGTCAAAATCCAGGCCAAAAGATGAAAAATGTTGGTACCCTAGGAAAGGTTTTGTCTCGAGGAATATACCTGTGAAATTTGAAAGCCCTAGCTGCAACTGTTCAAAAGTTATGGCGAAGGTTAAAGTTTTTAAAAGTAAGTAAAACGTCAAGGTCAAGGTCAAAGTTGTTGATTACATATGTGAAGTATGAAAGCCCTAGCATCAACCATTCAAAAGTTTTGGCCAAGGTTAAAGTTTTTCGACAGTATGTCAAACTCCTATGTCAAAGACAAAGGGTCAAAGTGGTTGGTATCCAAAGGAAGGTCTTGTCACATGGAGTACATATGTGAAGTATGAAAGCCCTAGCACCAACCATTCAAAAGTTATGGCGAAGGTTAAAGTTTTTCAAAAGTAGGTCAAACTCCTATGTCAAGGTCAAAGGGGTTGGTATCCAAAGGAAGGTGATGTCACAAAGAATACACACGTGAAGTTTGAAACTCCAAGCATCAACCATTCAAAAGTTATGGCCAAGGTTAAAGTCTCATAAAATTTTGCAAAAGTGGGTCAAACTCCAAGGTCAAGGTCAAAAGGTCAAATATGATGGTACCCAAAGAAAGGACTTGTCACAAGGAATACACATGTGAAATATGAAAGTCGTAGCTGCGACCAATCAAAAGTTATGGGCAAGTTTAAAGTTGACAACAGACAGACAGACAAACAGACAGACAGGACAAAAACAATATACCCCCGGGATCATTCGATCCAGTAAAAACAAAAAACAAAAAAAAAAAAAACAAAAAAAAAAAAAAAACAAAAAAAAAAAAAACAAGAAAAACGTGTAACATCAACGTTACTTTACTCTTTGCATGGATGTGGTAAATAAAGGAACAGTGTTGTTGGATTGACCTAAAGATAAATATATGAAGATAAATCCAACATTGTAAGCCTCTTCTAAACAACCAGTTAATTGCAAGTTGTAATGTAGATCACCTGTGTGTGTATGACAACATGTTCTTTTCATTGAACTTTTTTTTACAGCACCAAGATACATAAAATCATATGGTTATCATTATGATATTGTGAGATTTTTTTACGGGTTTATATTCCTGTAGTTAAAAATGTATGATAACTCAAACATCGTGTATCGGACGCCATTTTGAAACCATTTAGACTTATCTAACATGTTACCATAACTTCATATCCTAACCCACATTCCTCCCTCCTAAGGGTCTTTGCTCCCCGAAGACACAACCCCAGGATCTTCCCTGGCAGATCTTTCACCTTTCACTTCCAGATCCTGGTCACGGCACCAATATGTGACAGGAAGGGAGAAATTGTATGGCTAGACCAGGAATTGAACCTGGGACAATTGCATCACTAGCCAGGCGACTGACCTATCTAGGCTGATATCTAGGGCCCAAGACATTACAGTATAAAAAAAAATTGTGTTCTTTTCATACTTTGAGAATTTATATGACGTAATTCAACCATAATGTTTCATAAGGAAATCTTTACTGTTCACATCGACATTTATAAGACGGTATTTTGTCATTATTTGTATGCATGAATTAATATTCACATTTTAAAATAGTCCCCCCTAGCTGTGATTTAACAGTTCTCTTGAATATATCTATAGTGTTACATCAGAATACATCAGAATACCGTACTTGACATCAAAACTATAGTGCAAACTGTTTTCATGAAATATGCGTTGTAGTTATGTTTTCATGAATTTTCAAAAATTAAATTAATTAATTCTTAAATATACTTTGCTAGCCTTGAGTTCACATAATTGATTAAGTTGTGATTAATTCTTAGTATCAGGAACAGTATTTATCCCATGTTTACCCCTTTATCCTGTGGATATGACTCATTGGATATTTTTTTCATATCCAACAGTTAAGTGCAGTTGTGACGTCACAATGGTTTTTGCGTTAGCGTGATGAAGTAAAATAAAGTGGAGTCCTATATAAAACAGTGTAAAACATTGGTTGTGAAGTATTAAACATGGGATAAAAAGAATTGCCCATGATTTGTAGTTGGATATGACTTTTATCCAACTCGTTGTGTGTTTTTATCCCCTCGCCAAGGCTCGGGGATAAAAAACACACAACTCGCGGATTATAAAGCGTAAACTGACCCAAACCAGGTTATACTCGAATAATTTGGACAAGAATTAGAGTCATTCCTAAAATAATATGTGTTCCTTTTTAGATGTTAACCAATCAGAGGCTAGAATACAAAGAAAATTAAATTATAAGGAAATATCGGTTATAGGTTTTTTCTGAATCCTATTAGTTTGAAAAATGGCAGATATATCTAAGTATGTTGATTTTGCATAGCAAAAAAAATTTTCAGTTATAGGGACTTTTCCTATTAAGAAAAAAAATAATGTTATTTTTAAACGGCGAAAGAATATCAATTTCACTGCAGAAATGTGGATGAAATTACAGCTTACTCGGCTTTTTAAATACAATAATCACTAAATGATCTGTTTTTCCCCCTAGCTGATCAAAAGCAAATTACTCCATAAATAATTAACTAAATTCTGCATTTCATAAATTTCTGGAGTGGGAGTAAATTTTTAATATTTATTTTTTACAAGCACAAGTTACAATGTGATACTCTGACAAAAAAAAAAAAAAAAAAAAAAAAAAAAAAAAAAAAAAAAGCAGCGCTTTACTATGTTTTGAACTTTTTCCATCTTTTTTGTTTTTGTTTTTTTTGTTTTTGTTTTTTTAATTTTTAAGTGCACTATTTCACTGCATGGGCAAATTAATAATGAGAGTTTTAAATCTGCATAAGAAACTTTTTTCATCAGTAAGCGCATTGATGAAGTTTGCCTTTCAATGCAGGTAAGAGTGGGACTGCTTTTGTCGCTAAAAAGACTTACGATCAATAAGCGCCTGGCGAGCTAAAACTACTAAAAATATGAGAACCAATCAAATTGCTCCTTTCAAACAGGTTGTTGTTTCTGACAGGAAGCGGTTTTGTGAATCGTAAACCATGTAAACACAACATTCTACAGGTGCAAAACCAGGTGAAAATAAGGTTTCTGTATGAATGGAATGGCCTTACACGCAGGAAATACTCGAATGAATCGAGGAGGTCCTAACATGGACGCTACAAGCGGACCGGGGTATGCAAACACGAGCACTTTGATACAAAACAACCCAAATGATCCTCCGTACGCGCTTCCCCACCAGTACCACAACGGCGTGTCCCTGGAGAAATTCCACAACATGGGTGTGTCCAGTCGTCCCCACGTGCGAGAGGCGGACTCCCACAGCCGACACCACCGCGGTAAGAGTAACTTTGACAACATTCGCTCGGAATGTCTCCGGCGCGGACGCCTGTACGAGGACCTAGAGTTTTTGGCGCATGAGACCTCGGTATATTACAGTAGAAGTCCGTCTTTCAGAATAGAATGGAAAAGACCAACAGTAAGATTGTGTTTAATAAGTTTTGTTTTTAAAAAGAATATCTTGATCCAGGCTTGTGGGAACCGGCCCGGGGATGGTGCCTCCCCCCCCCCCCCCCCTCCTAGATAGAACGTTCTATCGTCAAAATGATATTGTTCTACGGACCAGTGAGGGCTTTTCCCGAGACACAGTAAGATTATTCTAACTATCCCTCTCTCTCTCTCCCCCCCCCCAACACACACACAATTATTTTGCCAATATTGATGCAGAATTTGATTACAGAAAACATGGATTCTTTTTTGTATCTTGAGAAATTTCTGTTGTTTTTCTGTTCAGTTGTGCCCTCCAAGCTGAAATTGCATCCTATACATCATCGATGTCTTACTCCATAGGCGTCGAAAGCAAATTGAAAGTTGGGGGGGGGGCTAATTGAAAGGCCCCAATTTTCAATGCCTACATGTGTGTTATGTCTATCTTTGCAAAAAAAGTGGGGAGGGTCTAAGCCCCCCTAGCTGCCCCCCCCCCCCCCCCCCGGGTTCTGACTTCTACATGTATGTATTCAGAGCCTGATGTGAATTTATGAAATAAGTAAGGTGTATTATTTTATAAATGTTTGGTAGGGGCAATGTGTATGAAATGTTCTATTTATAATACTTTTGTCCTATTCTGTGCTATTAAAAAACTGTAAAAGCAGTTTTACCCAATTTTATCCATTTTTTTTTTAAATTATTGGAAGAAGCTGAGCAATTAATGCACAGTAATTAAAGCACATCAAAACTAAAATAGCATGTTAATGAGTCAGTCATACTGTCAGTTAGTTACAGGTATTGTTTATTTCATTGTCCTTTTATATGCAAGTTTCAAGTTCATAAAATTTATGGAACATGAAATTATAAACATATAAATGTACTGGTAGCTAGTATTTTATAAATATAGATGAATATTTTTATATTATTGTATATACATGATATATGAAGTATAATTAAATGCAACCTTCTGGAATGCATTACTTTTCAAATACACATGTACTTGTGAAAAGAAATTCCCTTAGTACATATGCATATATATACACTGTACATGTATGTCATTGTAAATCAAATGGGAAAAAAAGAATTACATTTGAACCAAAATCTTAAGTTTATTTTGAAACTACCCAATGAATTAAAAAAATCCCCAAGTCATTAAATTCCATAATTTCACTCCTATTATTTATTAAGGTCTTCCGCTCCAGCGGGAGACCTTCTACTGATTCTGATGGTTAAGATTATTCTTATTATTAAGGTCTTCCGTTTCCAACGGAAGACCTTCTACTGATTGTGATGATTAAGATTATTCTTATTATTCTTTTTTTTTTTTTTTCCTAGACGCCAACTTTGACGCTTCATATCTTCCTCATTTTTAAACAGATTTTGTTCAAATTTTCAGAGCTTTTAGACTTTACAAAACACTGTCAGAATACCGTAATACAATTCCGAAATTACCTTCTGTTCACGAGTTATTCCCCTTTGATTGAATTTAGCATGCCTCCGATTTCCAGACAAAGGCTCAGAAATGGTTATAATTGGAGCACAAAACGCTTTGAAATTGAAAAGAGGAAGCATTGAAGTTGTGCACATCGGTTTTTGTTTTTTGATTTTTGCATTAAAAATGGCGCTAGAGAGGGGTCAAAAGTTAGAACGCGGAAAACAGCAAAAAATTTGACATATTTTCCTTTATATCTTGAAAACTAGAAATATTTTGTTAAGACATGTAGAACAAAAGTTGTGCATAATTGCAAGGGCTTTCATATCATACTATTTAAAAGGGGCTGGTCCCTATGATTAGGGATCTTGGGCCCTTAAAAGTTTTTGCTTTATAACTCAAAAACGGTAAATATTTCGATCTGGATCTTGGGAACAAAATTGTTCTTTTACACCTTTTTGATCTAATGAAAATGTTGTTTTGTTCGAGTATACCATGGGTATTGCGTAATACGTATTAGAAAGCAGGCCAGGTAAACAGGTAACGTTTTTCATTCGGCAAGGAAATCAGACCTCTTCATGTGTATAACTTAAACAGACTTGCTATCAATAATATACCCTGCGGTATTTAATGTTAATTTTCTTTTTAATAAGGTTTAAAACGTGGTTTATGGTTCACTATTAAATTATTTATTACAACTAGTCTTTCTTTTCTTCTTTTTTAAATTAGATTAATAGTGTTCAAAAGCGGAGAATATTAAATCTATCTTTCTACGTTTATTATTACAACAAACTTTGTAAGTGATTTTAAACTGTATGCATTGAATAATTCACGATCATTAGCTGTATGCATATTACGGTCTCCATGTTCAGCTCGATGTTTAGTTATGTAACCCAACGCGCGAATCCCACGCTGTTGATCGAGGTCACCAGTGTGCTAGCCACCTGTGGCCATAAACAAAGCTAGTATTTGTGATCGCGTATAATGTCAATTTTGTACAAAGAGCTATTAATTAATGGAAAGGTATGTTTTTAATTATATCGAATCAGTAAGATTACTTTACCGATCTTTTATAATCTTAATTCCAAACACTGGTGCAAAAAATCATTTTGAATTTTAATCGCTGTTTTTGTCTGTTCACACATAATACATTTTAAAAAAAGTTGCTCTATCCCGTGTTGTTGTATTTTAATTCATCTGCAATTGTAATTGAATGGGGGCTTCGGTAAATAATTGTAATTACTACGCATGCTACGCACATATTATTTTTACCATCACTCTTGTGAATGTCCATTTATTATTTATAGAATTAAATAAACATTAACATAAATAAAAATTCCTTCAAATGTACTATAATTCAAGTCTTTGTAAGATAGCAAACAGTTTCATCCATCTCTGCCGCTTTGTGTCTTAAGTGTTGTAGTCCAGTCCTCGTTTACATACACGGTGCCACAGAGAGCCGCGGGCACCTCGATGTTGAAATACATTGTGTACTCTGATAGTTGCTCTACACCGCACAAACAACTAACGAGTACATGCAGTGTAGTAATTGGCAAAGATTGTTTGAAAAATATAAACTCGCATGTGTTCGCTATGAAGCATTCAGTTTAAAATTTTATTTACATGTAGATACCTTATAAGAACAAAATAAAGTAAATGTATAACACCTAGAACAATGTTTAAAAATTAAAATACAAATATCGTGTGCTCGGAAGGGAAGATGGCTTGAAAGGGTGTGTCTGTGAATGCTTGGATCTAGCAACACACTTCGCAAAAGTAAGCATACTTGTGTCCAAATTCTTTAAAAGTGGGGGCAATCCCCAATCCTCGCACCCTTCCTCTTTGAATCTAAAAATATATACCATACTGAGAGTTGTATATAGAGCGGGAATGTTATTTTATTAGTCCTTAAAGGCACAACTTAAGAAATGACTTATAAATTTTTTTTAGCTAAGATTGTTTCGCGATACAGCTGTGATAAATCTTAGGAACTTCTAAAGTTATAACTTAGGCATATCTTAAGATAACTTAGGAAACGTTTTTGAAACAGGCATGTCAAGCATTCAGTCAGATCTATTACGACGTCCATATTACCATATAAGAGAATGAAATTTTGTTTTGTATATAAAGTGGTTATTACAAATATGCGTGTTACAAAAATGTATGTTGAAATCTTCAAAAGCTATCGAATTATTTGCATACGTGTACTCGTACATATGAACATTGATCAACACTGATCAAGTGTATACCGGGACCCGGGATAGTCTTATTGTAGCTCTTGCTTTGTCAAATCATTACTTTCATACCCCTTGCATTTAAGAAAAACAATGTTATAAAAAAATAATAATCTGACATATAACAAGTATACATGTAGCGTGTGCAATTTATTTGGCTAGGGGCATGTACACACGTGGTTCGAAACTGTAGGGGGCTACAAATGCGGCCATAACTAGTATATTTTTGAGGTGTTATAAAAAACAAATAATACTCACAAAAGCTTATAAAATTGCCGTTCTATCGATACCTTATATGCCATGTTTCATCCACCAACAACGCCACGACATCGATGAGAAATACGTTTCTACACGGGCATTTTCTTCGAAAAGGATAGGAAGTTAATGAATTAAAATAATTAATTCTTTTAGTTAACGCATTATGTTTACCTCTTTATTTGTTGTATGCAATAAGTATAGACCTTACTAATAATGACTGTTTGGTTGTCACACCTGTGCATGTGTCGTGTGAGGTACAGCGGTAAGGTAAATTACCGAGAGTCGCGATGTGCGGGGTGATTCGGAATACCCTAAATGACTGTGGTCCATTGAATTTCTACTAGTAAATCAACCTGTCAAATCTAACATGGGCCCACATCACTGGCGGATTTAAGGGGGGGGGGGGGGCGTGGGGGGCGCACGCCCCCCCTAAAATTTTCAAAGTATGATATGACTAATATTAATAATGCCATACTGTGGTATATAACTAACCAATACCACTATTTTTGTGCCTGGTTTTACTCTTAAAATACACGAAAACCCAGGAGCTTCCGGGGGCTTCGCCCCCTGGGCCCCCTCTATTCAAAGTATGATATGACTAGTATTAATAATGCCAAACTTTGGTACAAATAAACTAACCAATACCACTATTATTGTGCCTGGTTTTACTCTTAAAATACACGAAAACCCAGGAGCTTCCGGGGGCTTCGCCCCCTGAGCCCCCACCAGGGCTTTGCCCTGGACCTACCCCCAGACCCCCTGCCTAAACGAAGTTATCCACGCCCCCCCCCCCCCCCCCCCCTAATCACAAATCCTGTATCCGCCCATGCACATAATACGACTAAATTCGTTTCATGAATGAACTGGTTCTTAACAAATATATGTACAGTATACACTATCTTTTCTTTAGACCTGTTTGTTTATTATTTTCAACCACAATCTGCAGTACATGTATAGTTACACGAAATCCATGCACAACGGCGCTACACCTGTCAATCAAAATCACTCGATATTGTGAACTCAGTCTGGTGTTACGGCAGCATTTCCGAAGTGATTCAAAATATTCTA